GCTCTTCCTCCACTTCTGTGTATGCACCACGTCTATCCTCGGTTCGTTCTCGTGCCTCGTTTCGTATGCAACGAATTTTTCGCTGCCTTTCGCGTCGCTTCTCCTCCGCGGATTCAACGAGCAATCGAAACGTCAATGAATGTCTTCGAGCGCGAGTTGATGTATCGTCTGCGAGTTCTCGCGTTCGAAGTAAATGGCTAAGAATATCCGCGCTTCTCATTATGGGTCGGGTAATATCGTTGCAGGGACATTTTTCGATTTTCGCGTTACACGGTAAAAGTTAGTAATATGGTTTCAGTCATCTGTCAATTGCGCAATATCGTCGAATTCGTTGTAGTCCTTCTCTTATCTTAGTTCTCACTCACGTCGGCACAATAAGAGCTTGATACAAGTTTAATATACATTCCCGTCGTATTCGTCGAACCACAGTTCTCATTTGTTTCCGAAATCTTCACTTGATCCTCATCGATATTCACTTGTCACGTGTACACTATGAAGAGCACACCGTCAGCCACTATCCTCCAACAGCATAGACATGTTTCACGCTATTCGTCACGTGACACACGAGTCACTGCGGATGTCCTACAGATCCGATTAGCGAAGCGGTATGATTTCTTGTTTACTCGCGCGATGACAGTTACGACGCATCGCGACGCGAGCTTTTACGTCGTCGCGATACTCGAGCCTAGTCGAGGAGCCGAGCAGCGGAAGGCGCGGAATGTTGGAGCGCAAGCGCCTTCGATGAAGCTCGTGACCACGTCCTCCTTCTCTACCTCTTAACCCTCCTCTACCACCTCCTCTTCCCTCTCCGTACTCTTTTTCGCGTGTCGATTGCCCTCTCGCTTCTTCCGCCTATGAAGGCTCCCCTTCTCCAATGACAGGCAACCAAGACTACGTCACCGGGGTAACTTGCTCGCGCTCCGTCGGATTCGAGCGGATTGCCTTCCGCTCGGGGTTTCGAAGCGCACCCAGACTAGCCTTACCCCCACCGTTCCCCTCCCACGGCCGGCAGAGACTCGCCACTGCTCGCCGAGGTGAGATCAAGATTTAATGTGACGTGTGACTTGCCTGGTCACTTCGTATACACGACCGATTCCCTTCTCGCGCTCTCCCTCTCCGTCCTTGCCTGTTGACCGCGAGACCTTTTTTTCCCGATGCACAAGTAGTCGCCAGATTTTTTACCCCTCATGCAACTTTTCACGTATTCAAGAGACTCTTTGATATGAAAGAAAATATAAAACAAATTCTTCCAGGAGGATCACGAGAACGGTTACTCTTTTCCTTCTTCTTGCTTTCGTCTTTTTTCTCCTGTCGTTTTTCCACCATGCACTACTTTTCTTCTCACGCGATCAATGCGTCGAACTATCTTCTTCGTGTCCCGGTGAGAGAGAAATAAAAAAACTCGTACACCGCAGTCTCAGTTCAAGAAGAGAACTCCGTTATTATAGAGACGCTGGCTGTAATACAGTGTATCGACAGCGCGATTGCTCTCTTTAATCTTCTCTTCTCTATCCGGACGAATGCGTAACGCGGGGCAACCTGCTCGCGCTCCGCCGTATTCGAGCAGATTGCCTTCCGCGCTGCGCTCGAAGCGCGCCCAGACTAGCCTTACCCCCACCTTCTCTTCTCGCGAAAGACTCTGCTCTCTGCTGCTTCTACCCACCGTGAAGATGAGATTAAGATTTAAGGCGCCGCGTAGTACGGTAACGGCGAAGACGAGGGAAACGAATACGAGGAAGGCGGTCGAAGACATCAGAAGCTGTTCATTATACCAGGCCGGAATGTAAAGGGTGGACGCGGGGCGGAAAACATCAGCAATCGCAAGCACTGGGGGAACCCTCGCGAGACCTAGTCGATGCGCATACAAGCGTGGTGGGGAACGAGCATCGTGGGGATGCATGGTAAAAAAAAGGGAGAGAGATAGAACCACGAAGAGAGAGAAAGGAGAGAGAGAGAGAGAGAGAGAAAAAAAAAGAGCTGGGTAAAGCCAGCCAAGTGCGCACAGCAAGCCGCGCATCTGAGCTTACCCAACGCCCATCGACCATTACCAAGACGATCCACCAATTGGGCGATCCGGTAGCCGCCCACTGATCTGTTAGCTCTCCCACGCTTTTAAAGAGCGACCTTCCGCTCTTCTTTGCAACCGGCGTGAAGACCGTCGTCGCGATCCCCGCCGGCCGTTGCCACGGTTGCCGTATGCAATTTTGGTATCGTACGTTGATGTCGGACACGGACAGCACGCTCGGGGATAACCGATTGGTGCGTGGTTGGTACCGGCACATTGCACTTGCTTAGCCTCTGGCCTAGCCTTTCCACACGAATGAAACTGGAGTACGAGGTAATCATCCGACAGTACACTATCTAGAGAAGTTCTATCTCTTCAAGTATTCCTGAGAAAGGTCTATTTATATCGCCCTCGAGATTATCTGTAAATTGTCGGTTATTAGTGAAATTTGATTCTGCCAATCATTGACTGACGTAATACAGTTGAACGTACTTAGGAGTGGATCTTCTCTTTAAAAAGCGGCCAATTCAGGCAGGCACAAAATATACTCTTTGTTATTCCAATTGTGATTTTAATTAAAAAGATAATATATAATATATGTATATATTATGTATATAAGAATAATTATGTATATATGTACATATATCACAGAACCATCAAATATATCTTTAATCGTAATTGACAATTTGGAAACAATTTCTTAATTTTTACTACATTTTTAATACATTTTTATATAATTAATTTTTAAATTAAATTGATATTAAAATTTATTTATATAAGTAATAATTAAAAAAAAAATACAATTAATACAATACAATTTTATCCATTTTCTTAAGCTTAATTTACAGAAGTTTATCAGCTTTATATAATCATTAATCAATATTTATATAAAAATTATAAATATCTCGACATATTTGCATTGAAAAATTGATTCCGTATTGGCTAAAGAATCTATAGTGCCAAGGATACTTTGTCGTTTTAGAAAATATTCTGTATTAGATAAGAATCTTTCCATAGATGTACCTCTTAATCGAGAGGCGCGGTTGGAAAAGAAGGAAATCGAGACCGATTAGAGAATACGGACGTCGAAAAACGTTAAAGTTTCGAGAATGAAAATAGGTCGAAAAACAATTATTCTCGTAGATTCTTTATTTCGAGACGATTTCACAAGATCTGAACGATACATATAAAGTCAAATACAATAGAACAGCTGAAAATGTATATATTTGTTAGAGCGTTATTTATTTAATAATTTTCTTAATCAATTTGAATGAAATTATTCTGAGACCTTTACGCGCTTGATCAAGGTAAAAATATAGACAAAGTGTATAGCCATCGCATCATTGCCATATATATTATTTGTGCATTAGGGATATACACACATATCGATACATGTATCGATTACTTAAGAAACATTACTCGTCTATACCAATCGATTTTTTAATAGGGACATATAAATAGTTACGTATTTATAATTTTTATGTTGGAGAGAAAAAGAGAAAAAAAGAGAGAGGAAAGAGATGCTCAATGTATACTACATCTATGTACGCATAGGTAGTCATATTAATAATGGAGAACATAAAGTAGTTAGTACAGATATAACATTAATGTAAATAAACGCGATGATATATAAGCCGATAACAGCTATTTGAAATGGTAATTCTTTCACACGCTCTGCTCTTCACTAAATATAGCAATATATTTCATAATGGTTTCTGATAACAAAAAAGAAGGAGTACGTTTCCATAGATTTCTTTGATATTATAATCCACTTATTATTTAATGAATCTTTGAGCAAGCGCGTGGATGACATATTTTTCTTTCCGCCTTTCTTTTTAATATCTCCTTTTTAATATCTTGAACGAGCGAAATAGTATTGTAATTTCATGCTCGATGAACAGAAATAAAACACACACACACAAATTCATTTAAAGAAATTTTGATTATTATTTTGAAAATTTAACGGGCCACCATGTATATGGTGTGTCAATTCGCTTGCTCACAATTTTCTTTTCTCTCGAATTATAATTAATTCTCGAATGTCAGTTAACACTGCAATGCGCTATACCTTTTGACAGATTTCAGATTTACCGCAAAATCGGAAACTTTTTTTTCTTGATATTATTAGAATTGAAAAAAAAACTTTGATTCCGTTGTAACGACACAGAAGCTGTCACACACACACGCATATATATATACATACACTCACATACACACACATAGAATAATTTTCGAGCATTTAATTAACAGATACTTTTCTAATAACAGTCAGTTATACTTAGTGCGATCTTAATTTGATTAAAACAATATGTCTCGACGGATATCAAATGTTTATCTTTCGGGAACGAATATATTACAAGAGCTTGTTAGACGAGTCGCGCGAATATTACGTATTAATGATTATGGACTGATTAACGAGATTAGTTATTTAGACAGCTGAATAAATCAATTTTTGTTTCACCAACTGTCTGATTAGAAATAATGAAGTTATGCAAACACACAGGAGACAGAGTTGTCTTACAATTACAGTTTGATAGCGACGAACGAGCGATCTATTTAAACGAATCGGCGATCCGTTAATTTGCAAAAACTAGTATAAATGCTTTTATTTTTCCGTTACCTTGCGTTACGTTATAAATTTGCAGAATCGTTTAATCGTTACGTTCGAACAAAGAACAAAGGAAGGAAAATCATCGGAGACCACGTGTCCCAAACAAATTACAAGCCGCGCGATTACTCACCGCGA